CTTCTAAGAGTGTATTGTTAAAAGCGCTAAATAAATTAAGATGACGATTTCATATTTAGCAATGTCTGACATTTTGTGTTCAAGCCGGTTACTGCATGTCCTTCCCAAAAATTGTACATTTCAAAACATGGTGGAAAGACAAGTAAATTATCGCATTCCTTTATTTTTAAATATTTTACACAAATTAGTTATTGCAAGGGAAATAATTTATTTTCTCCAATGTACACGTTTGTCAATAACTCCAAAACTGCAACAGTAACACTCTACTGGAAGGGGTGTGAATAAGACAAAAGTGGATGTTACTTACTTGTTCAGAAGACATTTTCCGGTAAAAATTCTTATGTTGGTCTAACTTACAAAAAGTGAATCTGTGATTCTGTATGACAGTATCAACACAGCGCGGTGACTGACAGCGGCACTCGCCTCAAAACACTGTGTTCATCCGCGCTGTTTCATGCCGATTTGCAACCCACGTAAAGATGATAATTCCGCGAATAACTGCAATTGCAGATTTCGAACAGAGATGGCGACAAAGAGGAAAAGTTGCGGACTGCAGCTTTAATGACAAATTCAATTAGTACCACTGTAGTTGAGGTCACGAAAAATATTCATGACACGGTTATAATGGCCTCATGACAGCCAATGTCAAAGCCAACCACATGACAGATTAACTTAATTTAATGTCAAGTTTTCATGACAAAGACATCTAAACAATGTCATATTTGGAATAAAAAAATGTCATTATTGAGCGGCAGTTGTCATAAACATAATATTCAAGACATATATCATGTCATGGTTATGAAGGTGTCATGTCAGTCTTATGCACACCCCTTCGAGTAAAGTGTTACCAGCAACTTTTCATGCTGGGTTCATTATCTAACATATCTACCAGTGTTGTAGTCGAGACCACCTCACTCGAGTCCGAGTCGACACCGAGACCAGAGAGAGTCGAGTCCGAGTCAAGACGAAGTCCGTAGAGAGTCGAGTCCGAGACCAGAGACGGTCGAGTCCGAGTCGAGACCGAGACCAGTGAGGGTTGATTACCTAATTTGCTTTTATTTACTTAGAGAAATCCTTTTTTTTATTTTACTGAATTTACTTAGAGTTTAAAAAATATGATCAGTTTAGGGTAAAAAGGCCACATAGTAGGTGGTGTTTAAAGTAATTTTATTACAATTTGTCATGCGCAGTTGCGCACTAGAAAATCACCAATCACTGGGCATGTCAATCAATTTAAAGAAATATTGTATTAACATACATTAATAATCATGAAAAATATTTTGAATTGAACTCGAGTGGACTCGGGAATAATTCCGAGTCCTAAAAAAAAAAATGTTCGAGTACGAGTCAATTCCGAGTCCAAATGGACACGAGTCCATGACAAGACCAAGACCATTAAAATATGGTCTCGAGACCGAGTCCGAGACGAGTCCGAGTCTCGAGTACTACAACACTGATATCTACTACTCTGTTAAAAAAGGGACTGATGATTTAAGGAAAGTAACGGGATATTGAATTGTACCCTATTAATGGTAAGTGGCATATACGATCTGTGTGTGAATGAGCATCTGCCGGGTCTTTAAACCCTCTGCACGTCCGGAGCAGGCTAACCAGACATTACACTTTCAGTTTACTGAGTTTAGATCTTTCCCATCAGTCTCCTGCGGTCAGCATCTCGTTCGACGCCTGCAGGCGATTCAGGCTTAGCGTAGCGTGAGCCCGACACTATAGCAGAAGAGCAAAACTCAATTCTCTTGGGCGTGATGGAAACACACATGCTGACAGCGAATATCCCCGGACTTGCTCACATAGCCGCAGAAGTGCACTGCGTTATCCTTTTCAGTTTATTAGACGGTCTACAAGCCTGAAGGAGGGGATTTAGCACACGCTTTAGTCCAGGTGTTCCTAAAAGAACAGTTTATCAATGGGAAACATGTTCATATCTCAACACACACACACACAAGCTTTGAGGAAGGCCATATATGAGTCATTTTACGAACAAATATTGTCATTTGCATTAATGTAAAGCTCTTGTTAATGCCTTTCCCGGCTCACAAATGATTTCGAGACTCAACAATAACAACATGGGAGTTACTGTATTGCATTTTTTCCGACTAATTCCATCTCTCATTAAAATTGTGTCTGCCTCGGGACTTGTGAGACATAACGCAAAGCAAAAACGTTCAGAGAATAGCACAAAATGCATGTCTCAACAATTTTACATGAAGAAAAATATCATCTAACAAGTTTACCCACAATGCACAGTTCTAGCTAATGAGGATCACTAGCTAAGCCTTGAAATCTGTTGATCTCACACATCAGGGTACCTCTCTAATTAAAGAGTTTCTCAGCCAGAAATACTGCACTCCACTATCAGACTCCATCTGGATGCACCTGCTCCACCAGGGCCAATGACGGGGAAACAAAAAGACTAACAATGCTGGTGAAAAAATGGGCCACAGATGAGTGCGTTTGCTAATGTGTCCTCTGCCAACACAGAAACAAGCAGGGTGCAAAATTACTCTGTCGTGTAAATACAAAAGTTACTTGCAGTAACATTTTTAAGAGCTGCAACACTTACATGCATGGGTTAAATCGAATTAAAAGAATGCATAAAAATAAAACGATCTGACCTTCACTGATGCAAGTTATAATAATGACTGGCTGGCAAAAGTTGTAGTTAATAGTTAATTAATATTGAGAAACGCATATGATCGAATGGTCACACTTTAGATTAAAGGGATAATTCACTTTGAAATTGATTTTTGGTATGTTTTAGCTGACCTCAAGGGCAAGATTGTTTCCGGAGTATTTTCAATTTTGATATTTTTAGGTCAAACCGGTTGTTGTCTGTCAGTCATATAATGGAGGTCTATGGTCACCACCTCAAAGAGCATGCACAGAGAAGTCCAAATTAAACATGATTTAATGACTCGTAAATGTAAGTACACATTGATGGCCAAAGACACGAAACGAGCGGTTTGTGTGAGAAAACTAACAGTATTTATATTGTTTTTACCTCTAGTAACCACAGCCACAATTGACAACAGACCATTGAGCTCTATTATATGACTGACAGACAAGAGTGGTTTGACCCAAAAATATCAAAATTGAAAATACTGTGGAAACAAAGACGCCTACATCTTGGATGCCCTTGAGGTAAGCTAAAACATATAAAAAAATAATTGAATATTAGTGAATATTTACCTCAACAGGCAAGTGATTCACTGTCCACAACTTTGGTTCCTATAAATGAACTCTTACACTACTATGTTAGCCTATATATTATATTTTATATATAATATATAATATAATTATATATTATATATTATATCTTACTTAACCTGTTAACGATATCTTGATTATTTAATGTATGTTTAAAACATCTTTCATGAAAATGACAGCAACTGTGTAAATTATTATATTTATAATAACAAATTAGAGTAAAAACACATTTGCCTTATGTTCAGTTTACATGTTTTCATACAATGTGTTGTGTGTTGATTATTATATCTAAAAAATAAATAGCATCTGAATTTAGGTTAAAAGTCTAGGCTACAACCTTTAATGTTATAGTAATGTGCGGCTCCCTATATGTTATTTTTTTTAATCCTTGTGAAACGTTTAATTGTAATTGAATTAATTTAAAGACAAAGACAATTGTTTTCATTAAACCACTGTTTAAAAAAACAAAAAACAAAAAAAACAATTTTAGCTTTCTAAACCGAACTGAGACGTCAAAACCGTGGAAAAAACCAAACCGTCAGTTTTGTGTATCGTTACAACCCTAATATACAGTAAATACAAAATTGTATACATTTTCAAAGGCACAAAAAAAAATCAAAGCCACTGGAAGGTGTTAGGCCCCGTTTACAGAACGCCCGCGGGTGAAAGCAGAAAAATATTTTATTTAATGTGCCTTTCGTTTACACGGCAACGGCGTTTTTGGGGCTTGAAAACGCAAAAAAGTGAAACCACCCTCCAGAGTGGAAATCTTAAACACGCTCCACCGTCGCGTTCCCATGTAAAGGGTAAAAACGCAAAAGTCTGCTAGACAGTGAAGGTTGTACGCACATCACGTACACCTAGCCACCTTCACATCGCCACCTAGCCGCCTGGAGTGCACACTACATTAAATTTCACACACTTTTGCGTCACCATATGCACGCCGATTTCCCACCCAAAACGCTCGTCTAAACGCAGAATAAAAAGTGATAACGCAACGCCACTTTTGCGTTTTCTCTTCAGAATCTTTTCCGTGTAAACATAGCCTTCATTTTAGGGATGCACCGAATATTCGGCCACCGAAAATTTTAAATGGCCCAAAAGTGCATTTTCGGTTTTCGGCCGAAAGACTTTTAATGTTGTGATGACGCAAACAGTTGTCTGAAGCAACATGTCTGCAGTGTGGACGTATTTCAGTGTATTCACTAAACATGTTTCATTAGGTTTCGTGTACATTTGTATTAAACATGGGCCTTTGTTCATTAAAAAGGCTTTTTATGCTATTGTATGCTCATTTTTTTAAATGTAAGCAACTAATTTAGACATGCAAACTGGGTGCTGGTGTGATGAGAAGTTCACGCTCGTCTTTGTTTTTATGAGAGAATATTTCATTTTAAAACCTATTATTATTTAGTGCACACATGAGTGAGGTCAAAAACATTTTAGTTTGAATTTTATTTTATACTGTGCAGTGTGCTAAATAAATATTTGCACAATTTGTAATTGATTTATTCTTTGAAAATGTTATATTAATTTATGCAATTGCAATGCCTTGATTTTAGTAAAGTTTGTACACAGTCATAACCATAAATGCAATGATACTGATAATTGGCATAATTTCTTTCGGTGTTTCGGTTTTCGGCCTTGGTTTCCTCTTTTCCGGTTTTCGGTTTCGGCCAAGAATTTTCATTTCGGTGCATCCCTACTTAATTTGGACCCTGGAAACAAACAAGCCAGCACAGTTGTAGGAAACGCCTGGGACGGATTCTACTCACCCAAGAGGTTTCTCTAGTCGGCAGGCCGGTGACCCCACGATTTCCCCCAGTGTGCAGAACATCTGTCCAAGAAAGTCCTAGATGGAGTGGGTAGGATCAAGCAGAAGAGGAGGTAAGAGTTTATCAAATTCAACAAATCCCAACGCTCTGCCCTCTTGTTATAGTAGTGAATTGAAAGGCAAAGACGTACGTATAGTTCAAGGGGCTTCTGGGAAGGAGCACGGCCACGTTTACAATAGAGCACAGCATGTAACAGAAAGCACAAGACACAAATACAATACCAGCCACACACACACTTTCAGGGGTGATCAAACCAGGGAAGACAGAGAGATAGTGATGATCAGTCTGCGTGCATTAATGAGGGGGGATGAAAATACCACGATTGGGGAAAAGGAAAATAAAAAATATCCAAATATATTATGTCTGTGTGTTGAGTAAACATGCCAATGATGTCAGACAAGCACTGTATTTAATTTTCAATTAACAAATATTAGTTTTACTATACAAAAATTAGGTTTTAAATATGGATTCAGTATATAGATCAATTTTATGACCTCAACTGTGGATTGAAACTAAGTAACAGTGTGTCAATGACTTTCCATTCAAAAAGATGATATTTGGATACTTTTTAAAATAAATTGAAATGCACATAAATGTTTCATAAATGCTCTACTTACGTGTTTGGAAAGATCAGGACTTTTAGAGTCGACATCATATCTGAATTAAGTAGGAAATAACACACGCAAAAAAGAAAAACCATTGTTAGCCTTCATACACAACACTGAGAAGCTAATTAAGAGATATGCCATAAAAGACTGACTTTAAAAAGAAACAACTACTTTAATGCTCTTTTAAGAACTGTAAGCATGCAAAACTACACAATGATCAAACATGGTCGCCGTTGACAGACATAAAATAAAAACTATTGCACTTTAATCTTTTAGTATTAAAGCAATGAATCTGGGACTGAATGCACTAAACATTCGTTACATTATGTACCCAAAGAATGAAGTTACAAATATTTTTGTGTTCCCAAAAACAATGGGATACTTCTTAAAGGGCATATTGCAGGTTAGAGGACCCAACGAGTCAATGCATAGAAAAACAATGTAGGAACTAGATTTTCTTTAAAATATACGTATAAACACGCCACAGAAGCTTCTGCAGTCGTTTTTGTGAGAAAATTTTACTTCCGCGTCTGAAAATGGGCGTGGCGGGCGTGACGCAATGAGCGGGAGAGCGGTCGATTCACACAACAGGAAAACAATGAATCGCAATGACATTTCGGACGCTGAGGAAATACTCGTATGACGGATCAAGCCATAAAGTTATGAGCCTGCTATGCTAAAGAGATCAGGGACAGGCCAGGATAATGTCAGACAGAATGGTCAGAGAAAAATTGAGCTGTGATGTGAGGAGAACCAGTGGAGAACAGGACAGGTGCCTTTTAGGTGAGAGACGTGCTTATAGTATACACGTTCGCTAACGATACACTGTGCTCACAATACTGTACAGATTCTATAACAGGCCAGCAGACATTAGTATGTTTAGGGTAGATTTATATACTATTAAATGTATAAAAACTTTACTTGAGTATATTTCTAAAAGCATAGGCTATACTCAGGTAAATTTTTAATACATATTTTTCACCTTGGTTATAACATAAACAGAACATTAAAGGTTTGAGTATTTAAACAACCAATTTTGTTTTTCAATTACAAGTTTTATTTAGGGCATGACATGACTAAGTTACCTATATAACACTATTTGATGCCATTGGTAGTATACCACGATCAATATTCTTGCTTCGGCATACCATGTTGAACTCCATCATATCGCCGGGATGCTAATCATTTGATCTGAAGTGAACGCTACACACGACCGCGTTTCCCGAGCCGATGCAGAGGAGAAATCCCGTCTCTTCATCTGCTCAACCCGCACCAGGAACGAAAGATAGGCTATATAGCACCGTCCCTTTTATTGTAATGGAAACTTGTGGACTCAATCTTGAAGTCCTGACAGGCTGGAGTTTTTGCAATCTCCACAAACACAATAATTTACCGTGACGATGATAAATTAAAATGCAAAAACTAACGATAGCACACTGACTGACGAGCGCTCTCACTGAACACCAGCCTACTCTTCTCTGAGCCGAGGCTGCGGCTCCCTGATATGACGTCAAATGACGCGATGTTGAAAAAAAAGCCGTTTTTACTAGCAGTCCAAGAAACGCTCACTTTATCGTCTAAATTAGTGTCCTTATGTTGTTTTAAAACATTTTAAATCCTGCATTAACTTTTCATATGGTATTTTCATACAAGGTTATCTATAAATTTCGATTTTTTTTTACCTGCAATATGCTCTTTAAAGGAGTAGTTCCCTTTTAAAAACACTTTTGCTGATAATTTACTCACCCCATGTCATCCATGATGTCCATGTCTTTCTTTCTTCAGTCGAAAAGAAATTAAGGTTTTTGATGAAAACGTTCCAGGATTTTTCTCCATATAATGGACTTCATTGGGAACCAAACGGTTAAAGGTCAAAATGAGAGTTTCAGTGCAAACTGTTCAAAGGGCTTTAAACGATACCAGACAATGAATAAGGGTCTTATCAAGCGTAACGATGGCTCATTTTGAAAATAAATAAAAAAGTTTAAGTTTTATAAGCTCAAATGCTCGCCTTGCTCTGTTCTGAGATGCGCGTTCGTGACTCTCCTGTTCGAACTCGTTCATCAAAATGAACGAATCTTTTCCAGAGTCAACTCGTTCATTTCGTTCCAAATGACAAAAAAAGTTTTGTTCATTTTGATGAACGAGTTTGAACAGGAGAGTCACGAACGCGCATCACAGAACAGAGCAAGGCAAGCATTTGAGCTTATAAAACTTAAACTTTGTTATTATTTTTTTTACAATGAGCGATCGTTTCGCTTGATAAGACCCTTATTCATCGTCTGGAATCATTTAAATCCCTTTGAACAGTTTGCACTGAAACTCTCTTTTGGACCTTGAACCGTTTGGTTCCCATTGAAGTCCATTATATGGAGAAAAATCCTGGAATGTTTTCATCAAAAACCTTCATTTCTTTTCAACCGAAGAAAGAATGACGTGGACATCTTGGATGACATGGGGGTGAGCAAAAGTGTTTTTAAAAGTGAACTACTCCGTTAATAACTCCTTAAGATTATGATAGTAAGAAGGCCAAAAACAAATTGTAATAAAATGGGAAATCAGATGGTTATTCATTTCGGGATCTGAAAAACTGCATTGGAAGATCAGTAACAGAAGAAAGAGGAAGAGAGGCTTTCCTGAAGGAACATTGGTGTGGATGCGAGATTCCTCAGGACGGGGATCTAGAGAAAGAACTCACAAATCAAAGCGCAGGCTCTGCTTCTCCTCAAAGAAGTAGTCCAGGATGTACTTCCTGACAAAGTCCGGATTTAGCGTGTTGTCAATCACCTCCGTTCTTCCAAACTAGAAAGTGAATTAGAAACAGCAGAGGAAGAGATAGGGTTAGAGAGAGAGGGTGAGAAAATGAAATTGGATGATATAAGGTCCCGAATGAGAAATGGAGGACCGAAAAATTGAGAATTGGAAAAGTTTGGTACAAAACACAGCAGATATGAGAATTAAGCTGAAATGGCAACTCCTCTCTAATAACATTGGTGAAATCCTCCTGATCTGGCTTTCTTTCTCCCTGGTTACAGTCTTTTTCCTTTATTCTCTATATCCTCCAGAGACTTGTCTAATGCCTGAGGGTTGGTTTGCTGACGTGTGTGAGATCTGGAAAGGTTTAGTGAATCTTTAAGTCATCAGTCGCAGCGCTAATTACAGCACTGTGACTATTGGACAATTATCTGTGCATAATTCAGCCAAACAGCGAGCTATATCGCTCTGAAACCATGCCTATAGGTCACCTCACTCCATCATTAACCCCTTTCCCCTTTAAAAACAAAGACTCGGTAATTGGACAGGTCTCCTCGCCTCTTTCAAAGTCTAAATGCGCTACGTGGAATTGATGCCACCTTTTGACACCGAACTGATCCAAGCGAATGTTTGTTTAGCGGCCTGCATTTCACCTAGAGGCTTAGTGACTTTTCATGCAATATATTTCAAGCATAAATTATTCAGTGTCTGGAAAACTTTACATAAATATATGAATACCATCCAAACAGTCTGTTTCCATAAGCTGAGGGAAACAGTTGTGTTGTGTGTTCTGTTGTGTTTGGATTACTCTGAGAAACATGACGTGTTTTTTTACAGTTTATAAAGCACTGGTATTGAAAAACGTATAGAATCACAGAATATTAAATCATAGAATTACAAGCTGAATCATCTCTATTAATTAAGTCAATATAGCAACACTCCCAGTTTCTGTTAATACAAAGATTATTTAGCCAATATGGGGGCCTTTGAATATTGTATTAGACAATGAGAGGGCTTTGAGTTATTACTAGTCTTACAAGTTAACGTGATGCGTCGCATGTCTTTATGTAACATTTTTAAAGGGTCAATGACAAAAAAAGAAGAAAAAGAAGGGGTCCAAGGTGTATTTGGGGTCCTTGAGATGTTCTTTGTACTTTTTTCAGTTGCTTATAAACATTAATGGCACAGGTGAAATTACACTATTTTTTAGCACAAACAGGGCTACCATAATATGTGAGCAACATGTACATGTTTGTGTTTTTGAGCGAATATTGTTTATGCGTGATTATTGAAAAAACTAAAAATGAAAGTTTCTGAAATAAGGCCACAAAACACATACGAAATATGCGTTCACATTACTTTTGACTAATAGATGTTATGGCCTAGAGTTTTTTTGTTTTTTTTCGTTCACATAAAACTGTGAATTGGGTTATATTGTGAATTGTGAAAAAAAACATTTTTTGTTTGCCAAGGCAATATGCGGATGAGCGTTAACAGGCCAGCCCTCATCATGTATAATTAGATGATTCTCACCCGAGAGAGACAAAGACACATAATAATGAGCCTTTCATTCAGGTGTCAAAACGCAGGGGACGCGTTTTTGGTCCTCAGGGGGTTAATAACTTTAAAAAAATGGGAACGTTAATGGGAATCTTAAATTTTTTTTTATTACAAATGAAAAATAAATTTTTGCATAATTTCATACATTTTGAGGGGGGAGGGGGGTGCTCCTTGAAAATAAAAACTTGTTTGAATGTCAAGTTTAATCATTAAATTAATACAACATGTAATAGCTTCACTAATCATTTTCTTCCAAAGGATATTCAAAGAAGGATAAAAATAAATTAAACATTTTTTAAATATCATTAAATGTTAACTAACTAACTTTGCCACTCCAAAAAGCATGTTTTTTAAAAAAACAAAAAAGCCTCACTCCTTATTTTAAGTAATAATAAAAGTTAATGGGTACATCAATTGTTTTTTAAAGACACTTTTTATAGCAATTCAAAGTCACTGGCTGGATATTAATTAAATTAATTTCAGAAACCAATTTATTTCTCAGACATTGATAACATGATCAATATATAAGAGGTTTTGTCAAATAATTCAAATAAGTCTGTATGAATCACATTTAAAAAATAGTTCACTGTATAGACTGTATAAAAATACTAGAGTTCAATCCAATTGCAAAACCTTGTAAAAGTCAAGAGTTCAAATTACTTATGCAACAACTTTAATTGCAGTATCCACCAAGGGCTTTTTCAACCATCTAATGAATAAAATCTAATTAGAAAACAAGTAGTGCGCTGCTGTGAACCCTTCAGACGGCTCTGCTCATTTCAAATCAGAAAGTTAAAAGCTATATAAAGAGAGCCTTAATTATCAGTAATTATTGACAAATGTGAGCAATTGGTATAATCACTGCTCATCTAAAACAGATAGACGGTTTTTCTCTGTAGACTGGATACTAATGTTCTACGTTTCATTTTATATTCATTATGCAACGAAATAACTGAAAGGTCTGTGAAGCTTTGCAATTACTTTGTCAGGAATGACAGCCTTTTAATCAAAATATTTGTTGACAGAATATACTAAGCGGTGTTTTCCTGCACTGTACTCATGATTTTCAAACATTGTGAACTTTATTTCAGCTTGGAATAACTCTGGAATAACCCACTGGAATAAGTTTAGTTATTATTGCTTCTAATGTGACCTGTTAGTTGCATTCATTTATCTCAGGCCTTGTCTACACGGACACGGGTATTTTTATGACCGTAACTTTTTTTACACGATTCGGCCGTTCGTCCACACGGAAACGCAGTATCAGGACACTGAAACCAAACATTTTTGAAAACCCCTGGCAGGGTGTGGATTTTCAGAAATGCCAGTTATAGAATAGAATAGAATAGAATAGAATACGTCAGAGAATACGTTATCTGCTGTTTTTGACATCAGTGTTCGCCGTTATCCGCCTACAGGAACCGGTAATGACTTTTTGTTAGACGGTTAGGGCTATATTGCCGCCTGCTGGTGTGGCATGCTCTTGACAGCGCTTGATAGCATCTTTTTGCGTTTTCAAGTAGACAGAGATTTTTTTTTTAAACCGAGCATGTGTGGACGGGATTTTTTTTAAACGCAGGAGAAAAAACCATGTGGACAAGGCCTTAGAGTGAATGAAGCTGCTATAACGTAATTAAGTCTCTTCCAAAATGTAATAAACAGCTCAATTCATATGGATCAGTTTTACGATCTCTTGATGAACTTTTTGAAGTGATAGTTGCGTAGCTGTCAATGGAGGGAAAGAAATCTTTCAAATTTCAGGTGTGGAGACAAGGAGGATTCTGGGAAGTGATGACCGTGACAGTATGGGAGCTACTCACACAGGATATTCACTTAACATTTATAAGACTCAGACTTTGACACTAAATTTTGTTCCCACACAAGAACTGGCAAATAGGTATAATTTTAATTAGAACTTATTATATATATATATATATATATATATATATATAATTTTAATTGGAACTTATATATATATATATATATATATATATATATATATGAAGAGTTCAGATGCAAAAGCCTCTAAATGCCATTTGAAATTTTCTTCTAAAATTACCATTTTTATCAAACTTGTATATTTAAGTTCAGTGATTTCACTTAAATGACAATTAATAGGTAATCTTCATTGCCATTTAAGTGAAATTACTGAACTTAAATATACAAGCTCGATAAAAATTATCATTTTAGAAGAAAATTTCAAATGGCACTTAGAGGCTTTTGCATCTGAACTCTTCATATATACAGTATATATGTATATATATATATACACAAATAGGTATTATATAAAATTATTCCTATTTGCCAGTTTTACCAAATTTAGGGTTAGAGTTAATTTAAAGTGTCTAAAGAGGACAAATCCTTCGGTTGATGTACCCCAAGGTATTATATATATATATATATATATTAATCGTTAATCCTTGTTATTATTTTATTTTATTTTTACTTTTTTCCTGTACTTTTTTCCCCTCTTTGATGTGTACAAAAAAAAAAAAAAAAAACAGTCAAAGTGTGATAAAAATGGACCTTGTAAATGCAGAACTGGTCAGCAATATTTTAAAAAGAGTGAATTGAAGTTAAAAATGAAACCTTTATAGTATAAACACACTCCACCATGCATTATTTCTGGTGCATATGAAGCTCTTCAATAATCTAACAAGCCTCAAAATTGAAAATGTTTGGTCGATACTTCCTTCAGTACAGAAAAGTTATGTGAATCCCATCAGACAAACAACACAAGCCAAGTTTCTCCCACGTGACTTGCCAGTAAAGCCTAGTTCACACTACATGATTTTAAAATGTCGGGCTGAACTGTGCAGTTTACACTACATGACTTGCTCTCAGTGAAATCATGAGTGTTCAAGTTGTTTAGCTGTTCACACCACACAACACAGCGTGATTGATCCACAACTGGAGGTAACTCACTACACGAGTTAACAACGCACTACATAGAGATACAACCACGATCGGATGATAAGAGCATATCATTTGTGACTCAATGAGAGCTGTTTCAGTACTATAGTACGGTCTAAATCCTGAAAATAATCAAACAAATAACGAGTTGACAACAACACGATTCTATCTGGTCTAGAAACCATGTTTTGTCACGAAAAACCACGCAATAAAACGAACCAGAAATGACGCGAAACTGCAGAGAAGAACACAACACGCGAATATGGACGTCAGACAGAAACTAGTGCTGCACACTGTTTGCTCGACGATATGCTCTGAGAAAAAAAAAATGCAAAAAAGAAAAAGTAAGATTTACCTGGTGTCCTCAACCCATGCGTTGCTATGATTGGCTGTACTCATGACATCACTGAGATTGAGTCGCGCGACTGCTCGAGATATCTAGCATGCTAGATATTTTTCTGAGCTCGGTGACCTGTCTGCGAGCTGTCTTTGATGCGTTGTTGGCTCTTTCACACTATCGGATTGGCGAGCGTTAATCGTCCGCTAATCGCCCGCGATTTGCACGCGATAACACC